ATGGCCGCGGACCACGCGTCAGGGGCGGAAAATGGCCGCGGACCACGCGTCAGGGGCGGAAAATGGCCGCGGACCACGCGTCGGGCGGAAAATGGCCGCGGATCCGGTTCATAACCTGAGGCGGAGTTTGCAAACCAAGGTAAATTTTTGCAGCCGGAGCTGGTCCTAACCCAAAAAGTTCGTTAACAGATGCGTTCGTAACCCGAGGTTCCACTGTATTTAGATTTAGAGGTATGTTCAACGTATTTCAAATTTCAAAACTTTTTAAATTCAAAACAGGTTGTTCCACCCTCTCAGAGATGTCTCAATGCTATTCTCTTGTCAAAATGGTCCTGCTTCAAATTTCAGAATATACGTAATGGCATCAGCAAACGTCTGGTAAAGTGAGGACTGTCTGAACTCAAACCAGCGTTTTGAGCATGGAACAGTATGAATTCAAAACATTTGCAAACTGCTATTTATATTGATCATCTCCTTGAAATGAACCAAAAACAGGGTATAAAAAGGATACAGTTATATACTTGCAGTTAACCAAAAGTAGACATTTTGAATACATCAGGACTTTAAAGAAAATCACAGCAAGAAAACCTTTAACATGCAAACAAATTAAATGTCATGTGTGTTCATAGTAGAATACATATATTAGAGCACTATACCAGAGGTACATAACTGCAGTCTTCATGCAGCCCCTTCCCCCACATTTTTCAAATAGTCCCTTTCAATCATTTGCTATTACATTAAAGTAGGATGCAAAAGTGCCCCTCCCCTGCCAAATTATAGCAGCAGAAACTCACAAAACTCTAACCAACCCTTTAAGGCAAGTTGGAGGAGCAAAAACCTTATCACAAAATCACAATTCAAAAAAAAACTCAACAGGCTTGTGCACTCAGCTAAACCCAACAAGATGACATCTAACTGCAAAAGGTTCCTGCATTTAGTAGGATATTTAACTGTGTACATTCCTGCTTCTGTTAGTTCTTGCATAATTGAGGATTGGGAAGACCTAGTGTGGTGGTAATGTATGAGAAGAATCAAGGAGTATTAGTGGATCATCAGCTGAACAGGAGCACACAATATGAAAGTCTATACAACACCTATAAAAACTTGGTCCACATTAGCAAAAGTACTGCATAAAGATCACAGGAGCAATAGCATTGTTATAGCCAGCACTGGGCACTGTATTTCAAAAGGGACATGAAGAAGCTGAAGGGGGTTGTGAGGAGAACTACCAGGATGATAAAGAGCCTGGAAACCAAGTCCTATGAGTTAAAAAGCTGGGTATGTTTAGCTTGCCAAGGAGAAGACTGCAGGGAGATGTGATAGTGGTCTACAGATATTGAAAAGTGTTTCCTGTGGAAGTGGGACTGCTTTTAAGATTCACATTAAAGTTAAAAGAAGAGATTTGATAGGAGGAAATGGCAAGAGCTGATAAGCAGTAAAACAAGTCTGTCAGGAATATTGGAGGATTCCTCCATGCTGATGATTTTAAAACAAGGTTTCGGTAGCCATCTATTGGAGATGATTCAGTGGTTTCAACAACTGAGCAGGGGGGTTTCACTAGATGACCTATACAATCTCTTTCAGCTTATATATTTTATGTTCTATAACCCAAGAAAAAGTTACGTAAGTATATACAGTGTCAGACACAATAATCTTAAACTACTATAAATAGGTTGTGTTTGAAATTCTGCTCTAATGATAATTCAGTGGTGTCAGTTTAATTACCTCTTACAAACTGCATTAGGGACATGACTGAGGTACAGTATAATGATACCCAAATAAATATTCAGAGATTCTAGCTTATTTTTCTCTAGTATCTAAAAATACCTACAGAAAAATTAATGATTGTCCTTTAGATAAACTGTATAGCAATCAGGTATAGGACAATTATCTCTAATATTATATACTTCTATTTTAGGTCACAACAGAGATTCTATCACAGCCACAAATGAAGTCAATACAGCTTCTGCTCTCTGAAGTCAATACAGCTACTGTAAAAGGGCGCTTACAGAGCGCTGATGAAAAAGACTGGAATTCACAAAATGTCTTCATGAATACCCAAATCAGTAAAACTGAAAAGTTATTGTATTTAGAAAAGCTCTGCCAGTCCAGAAAGAGAAAGTATGAATATTTGGAAAAAGCAGTGACATCAGGAAAAACAGAAATGTAATTGTTCCTAAATGTATGTGGTCTGCTGTTCTTATGTTTCTGTTATATTCAGCGTTAAAAATAACACCTTATGAAGTGAGTACTTTGAAGTTGGACTGCTCTGATAATGTGGAGTCCTTGGGGTTCTCTGAGCTTGGTTCTTTTCTTGCAAACGTTTCATTACCCAGCTAGGTAACATCTTCAGTTACTGAAGACTATCTTCAGTTATCTTCAGCACTGAAGATGTTACCTAGCTGGGTAATGAAAC